GTCCTGAGCCTGGTCAAATGGGCATTTTTAGTGTCTCAGTGCCCCTAGTGCTCTGATTGCCTGCAGAGCATGTGGTGCTCAGGTGTTTAAGCCAGATTTCAGATATCTGAAATGTTTGAAAAGAAGAGTAGACAATAATAGGGTCACTTTGAACATGACGGTCTCAGCCTTAACTGGAATAAAGCAGTGTCTTCTCTCTTCCCTCCCACCTATGGAGAGACCTACTTGTCCCTAAATTACAGACATGTTTTCCTACCAGCTTTACTTTAGACCACATCATGGAGGAGTATAATAATCCAGGCAAGTCTGGAATAAAGAGTATGCCAGGTTATCTAGACTGGCTATCAAACGGAGCAACTCTGAACAAACATGCCTATATACTACTTCAGAAAAGTCTGAAGCTTCTCTTTCAAGGAAAATCCTGCCCTTTCGTATATATCACAGAGCTTTACTGAGCTCAGAACTCTGGCTGACTGAATACATTTCCAGTATAACCAGTAATATATGATTGGAGCAAAAATTGGACCTACATGGAGTCCTACCACAGAACAAATCTGGGAAGTAACATAGACCCACAAAAAATCCTAACCCAACCTAAACTACAAAACCATGAGGTATATTATTAGGTGTACTCTTGCACCATTATGTTTTGTAAGAAATACAGTAGTGGATCATTCTGATGGTCAGAAGATGCTCAAAGTGAATAAGAGCAATGAAATGAATCCACCCAATCTCTTGAAGCAAAAGTACATCCTGCAGCTGCTACTTTATTTCTGCCATCAAAAAGCTGCTCGCAGGCAAACAAACTCCATGGTTAAGTTATCGAGGAGTTCAGGCATCCCAGTACGACCACAGACTGAAATCTTTCAGCTGCAGAGCTGCAGCCAGTGCTGCTGTTGTGGGAGGAAAAGAGAAGTCCCATCCTAAAAGCGCAGTGATCTGCAGTGCGGCAGACAACCCTCACATGCTGTGTGGAGCAGTGGGACCAGAGGCACATAGTGGGTGTCCACAGGATCACCCTGAAACAAGGCTTGGGCTGATGAACAACATGACATTTGCTTTAAATAACTTCCACAGAAATTCAGCCACTGTGGGAACTAAATGTCTCTATGCATCCTTTGGGGAAGGGATTTTGTATGCTTCAAGGTATAACGAAGATTAAAGGCAATATTCTTAAATGAACAGGGAGATGCTTATGCCAAAATATACAGGAGTAATCTAGAGCATGATACAAAAATGCAAATGCAAGAATAGAAAGAAATCAGGACACTGTAATGCATATTGCTTTAATTTGAGGAGCAAAGGGATTTGAGTGGATTTCTAGGGTATAATGCAATACAGAATAATACAGTGTTTATGTCAGATATAGCTGATGAAAGCTCCCAACAGATCAATGCAGGAAAAGGGTATAAATCAGTAGTATTGGAAGATGTCACTTGAGAGCAAATCTGCTCTCAAGCTAAGGTAATATTTTCTGATACTCCCTGTAGTTGAACACAGCTAATGTGAAGCAACGTGGGAGAGAGAAAAAATAAATCCAAATGGCACTTGAAGGGAAAGTGGAAGTTTAAAATATCTCCAGGATCCATATTCTGCACAGAGGGATTTGAGTGAGAGAGAGCACCCATCCCAACAGCAATCACAAAGAAAAGGCTGCAGCGGCCAATGTTGCAGCTGAGACTGAGGAGAACTTCTGTTCTTCTCCCCTTCAGGGCAGAAGCACCCTTTGCTGATGCACTGCTTCAAGGTGTTGTCCAGCTCCTGGTTCTGTGGACAAACCTTTCCTCTAACAGAGAGGCAGACACAGCCCAGCTGAAATGGTGAGGCTTCCTGCAAGGGTGTAGGCAGGTGTTGCTTATGAGAGAAGCAGAAGATGTTGCCACATATTTCCTTCATGTTCCATGATGTCTTTCATTTTGGCTGTGTTAAATCACTTTAACTTAACCTGCTATGTGCTAGTGTATGATGGCATAAACCACCATTTACAAAGGTATCTGAAATAATCAGCTTTATATTGAGCATAGATTTTACTAAGCAAAACCAAAATGAATAAACATAACTAACTACTATTCCTGTTTCCAGTAATTGCTTCTCCTTCATCATCTGTTGCATTTTCATATGTAAATGAATGGAGAGAGCCTTCTGGTTTTGCACTGTCTGTGAGTGAAGGTTCATGATGACAAATAAAATGTTAGAGAAAAGGGGAATTCGCTGTATGGTAAGCCCAAGCTAGTACTCATTTATATTAGTTTTAAGTCACTGGTTTTATTTCTGATCATCACTGCCATAAAAGCAGACCAAGAAGCCTGTGAAGTTTGGCCCAGCCCCTAATCTGGTTTAAATCAGCCCAATACAGCATCAGGCAGCACCAGAAGAGCAGCTTGTCTTCTGCTTGGGCTGGGTTCCTTCTCATCCATCCTGCATGTCACCCTACCCTGTTTTTCCCTGGGTTGTTGTAATATTCTTCCTATGGTAAAAGAAAAGAAAAAGACGAGTAGATTGTCACAGGTAGAACAACGGCTGGATGCAGCAACACATGTGCCATCCTAGTCCCCAGCGGCACATTTGACTCTCTCAGCTGAGTGCATCAATTTGCTCCCAAGGTTGTGCATGTGAGGGCAGGAGACACAGGCTGGGTAATTGCTGCTTTTTCCTCCAAAACTTGGTGTAGCAGTACTTGTAAGGACATAATGTCTTTTTTGCCTACAGAAATAATTTTACATGTGTCCGCCTGCTTTATCTTCTCCTTGACTTCTCTATCTACCTAGAGCTCAGAGTTGAATAGAGAGGTAGATAGGTTTGAAGTTATCCTCTTGTGCATGAATTCCTGTTTTTTTCAGATAAAATTCTCTGACATCTCAAACTTCTATCTTGAACATACTTTAGACAAGTTGCTTCATATATATGTACATATATATATATTTGCAGTGCTCACAAAGTGATAGCTCCATTGAAGTTTCTGTTAGAAAATGCTTTTTTTCCTGCACAAGCTGCAGGCAAGGGGAGGGGACAGGTTTGTAAAGCAGACTCACAAACTCAGTCTGACCTGGAATTCAGTTCACTCCAGGGTGAATTCTCAAGCACAGAGAGATAGAGAAGATAGTCTTATCCTTGGGCCAGCAGCCTGGATTTGGGATGTGTGGTTTCCAGGTTTTTCTGAGGTTTGCATTAGCCGTTTTGCACACAGGCTTTCTGCTGGTGACAGTACAGCCTGCGCGGACATTCCTCTGACATTCCTTGTTTGCTGAGGAATTACTTTATGTCTGACCACACCAATTGCCCATGCACAGCTCACCAGGTGATGCAGATCAACTTACGTCTGTGATTTATCTTGTTGCTATTAATCACACATCCAATGTCTGTGTCTTCTGATGATGATCTTATTTTTTTCCTCAACTGGTGCATAACATGAAAGACCAAGGACTTAGAACCAGGACTCTTTCAGAAATACCTTCATCTACTGATAGTTTTCTTGTATAGTTATGTTTAAAAGTCATTCTTTAAATGTTCTCCTTTCCCCTATGATATGCTGTGTTAATTTTGGTTTGAGTTCGATGCCTAAGATGTCACAGAGTATGGAGTAAATTATTTTATAGAAGTCTATTACACATTAGAGTATGATATCAAGTTAACAAACAGTTACCTTCATGAATTCGCAGTACACTGCATTTAGTATATTATCTTCTATATCTGTTACAAATTGAACCCTGAACCAGCACATCATCCTTCTCAGAACCTGGGATAGTCCAGGGTTTGGCCAGGTCAATCTGTTACTTTTGAAAATCAGTATAATGCTGCCAGTCCTAAGCCCCCTGCAACCTCCAAGACTTACAGAAAATTTGTATTAATGTTTCAGTGGTAAGGCTTCTTGATAGGTTCTCTTACATTTGTATTAATAAAGGTTTAACATAACTGAAATTGAGACAAGCTGTGAGCTGGGAAGGAAGCAAAGCATGAATAGGCAGATGGGACTGCTCAGTGCTCAGTAAGAATTGCTACCCAAGAGCCTTGTGGTGGCCAAATTTGAGAAGGCATCAAGCACTCAGATTTGGGGTAATGGAGCTAATAAAATTAGGGCAACTAACTTGGCAACTTTGCTCCTCAGTCTTTTCCAGCAGTGCAGACTGGGATGATATATGCTGGAGGAAACCCTGAAGGACACTCCAGGAAAGGAAAGGAGGATCAGATGCGAAGTTGAGGACTATGTCGTGGTGTGTCTGGGGAGCTCAGAAAGCCATGCCCCAGCTCCCCACCCCTCAGACAGGGGTTGCAACTCTATGTCCCTCTGTTGAGGGGGATTGGATCATATATGCACAAGCTTCTGGGGAATTTTGGGATTAAATGTTGCTCTCAGGAATGCAGTAACTTTGCTTCTTTTAAATACATTTTCAGCCCTTTGCCAGTGATTAAAGTTCAAGGTCGAGAGGCATCTTTCCTTGTGGACATTTGCTTTGATTCCTGATGTGCTTTACTGAAAAAAATCTCAAACATACAGCAAAGGAGGTGACAGCATGTCAGAGAGTTACATATTTAGCTCTAGCAGCGAGTCAATCAGACATCTAGGCAATTACCCTCTGCTCAGGATGACAACTGAGAGATGTGTTTATTCTGTCTCCAGGAATCTCTGTTATTTTAGGATCCTTTCCAAAGTGCAACCAGTGCTAACTCGTCAGTATGTGGAGACTCTTGTTTATGCTTTGGTTTCCTATCTGGGTGGGATTATTCAGTTATTGACTTGCTGGCCCCCACTCAACCTTTTAAATTCATTTCTACCTTCCACACAATTTCTTGGCAGGAACTACAGGCTGTCTAAGCCCAAACCCTCATATCTTCATCTGTGCTGATGAATCTTTTATCTGCTTTTCAAAGGGTATTAGCTCTTCCATGAGCTGTTAGGTGGCACCTCGCGATCACTGCTGAGAGTCCTGCTTTCAGCTGCGGTTTGGCATCTCCCACAGCCTGACACAGCAGTTTTCTCATCCTTCCCAGAGCTTCTCACCATGGATCTCATCTCTGCTTGTGTGGTGAGTTCCCCATATAAAACCCTCCTCTCCTTTACATCCTTGTAAAGTTATTGACCTCAAAGGCATTGCTGTGGGTCAGTACCAGGACACCTGAAAGCCAGCTATCACCTGTCCTCTCTAGATACACTGTAGGCACGCTGCAGACAGCAGCAGTTACATCTCCTGTCGGAATCTGATTTGCGAGCTAAATATTTTCTGCTCCTTGGGAGCACCCAGTGCCATATAAGCTGGAGGCTCCCCTCAGGCAATGAACAGATGAGTTTAGCTGGAACAGACTTTGTTGTCTTTTGACATTTTATTGGGGAATCAGTTACTTGTGCTAAAGAAAAGGTGTTTCTGATGGCATTCACCTTTCTGAGACATGCAAAGGCTCTGACAAACTGCGGAAGTGAGCCCTGCCTCTCAGCTCAAGGATGAGCCACCATTACCCCGCAAAACGTCCCCAGCTAGAGCAGGAGTTTTAAGCAGCCTACACAGAGATAAATCCAACTCCCACTTTTCATTTGAAGAGGATTCAGTATCGTAACCCGTACTATCCCAACCAAACAAGCCCTGGGGCCCTCAGTGGCCACTGAGACACCCAGTGTGACCCAGAACTGGGTGCTACAGCATCACAAGGTGAGATGGCACCTGGATCATGCACAGAGACAGCCCTCACTTACCCCACTGCAAACCCATCCCTGCTAAAACTCTGCCCCCACACACCCACTTCTCCCCCTGTGTGGCTGGAGAACAAAGAGGGGTTTTGAAGGTTCAAGAGGCCTTTCTGTATTTCTCTTCCTGGAAGCCTGGTGATTATAGCAGTAGCCTCTAGCTACAGCTGTGAAGAGGAGCACCTCCACCAGGCATCTCCTGTAATAATGACTTCTTTTTTCTCTGAACTTGCGAGGCACTGTTGTATGACATTAAGAAGGTGAATCCAAAGAGGACCATAGATGTAGGGTCATTCCAAGTAAACCCTGACGGGACACAAGAGAGGAGTAAGGTAACAGGAAAATGATATGACAGCACATAATTGCTGATATGTGCAATTACCAACCACTTATCCAAACAGCAGTTGGTCTTAATCTTACAACCTTTTTTCTTGCTAAGGGTATCAGCCACTAAATTGCTTCTGCTTCCTCTGGGACCCAAAGTAATCTTTAGGCTTGAAATTGAGGTATTTTCCTTCCTTTTCAGTACCTACATTTCTTTGCCTTTTTAATATTTGAAGCAGTATTGTTCCATTGTTAATCTTGATAAAAAATAAATCAGAGCTACACGCATTATTAAGACAGAGAAAGAAAAAGGAAGAATGAGAGGTGAAGAATATACATGCTACCTAGAGACAGACCATTAGCTAATCAGGCATTGCACTGAAAGTCCAAATAGTGTCCATCGCTGTCCATGGGCTCCCTGTGAGTGCTGGATTCCTTCAACTTTCATTATCCATGGTGGGAACTGAGGGTGGTGGATCAAGCCCTCACATTGCCAACATCCAGGAGCAGAGCTTGGCTTGCTCTATGTGTTTTGCAGAATGGAAAACACAGATCATACTAGATAGATGTAAATAGAAAAGCCTCTGGAAATGTTTGGTGAGCTAGGTCATTCAGCAAATCATTCAGAGAATTGCTATTGACTCATATGATGGACTTTTCCATCATCATTGTCTGTAAATTAAGAGACTTAGGAGACCGTTTAAGGCATAATGAAGATGATAGCTGCTCCTTTGTAAATGACAGGGGCATTCTCAAGATGATGGTCATCAGGCCTGGCTTTACATGTCTGTTCCCAAGCTCTTACTGAGAAGGACTGAAGACCAAGCTGTCCAAGGATATGTCTGGAAAGGGGCTCCAGCTTTCCAAGGCAGCAGGAGGTGAGATGAATCAGAAGCTGTCCAAGATGTTTGAGTCTTCTGAAGTCCAACTCCAAGAAGTGTATCTTTACTGTCAATAGGAACTTCAGGCTCAGGGTACCATTGCAGCCAACAGTGTGGTCAACAGCAATGGTCAAATGAGATTAACGACTGAGAGAAAGTGAGAGGAGGGCACGGTTATTCTATAGCAGAACAAGTGACAGCTCTTGGGTTGCTCCTGGAGTGGTCCCAGGTCAGCACCTCAACCCCTGAGCCTTGCTGCCTCTAACAGCATGAGTCGGCATCAGACCTCAGTAGTGGGCTGATATATGTGTGTCTTCCTCACTTTCAGCAGAAAGTAATTTCAGTGCCCAAATGATGTCTTAATGTGGGCACGGGTATGAATGGGGGCCCATGTCTGCCTGTGGACACATGAACACAGAGGAGATGACTGCAGTAGATCTTGGCTCAAGAAGTAAAGCAATATAGATAACTAAGCATGCATTAATAAAGTCTGACTTTGGCATACTGCCATTCTTGTTTATTCATATGTTGACCCCAATATTAGCAATACACATTTCTTAAACAAAATCCGTGTCCTGCACTGCTAATTGTTAACATAACAGAGGGTTCATGAACCTGTCTTTCATCACATCACTTAAACATTATTTAAACAGTATTTTATTACATTTATTTCTTCAGAGGTAAAAACATTTCCTTTCTATGCCTGTCAACTAATGTGAAAACTGAATATCTAAATTGCTGTAGTTTATTTTCCACAATGGTTTCTATATTGTTTCAGTATTAGCCTTTGAGAATAAAACAAAAAATGTAGCCTTCTGTTGTCTTAATTTTGGGTGATCAGAAGACTGCTTTCCCAGGAAAGAAATACTGTCTGGCCTGTTAACAGAATGAGTTTTAGACCCTGGTTTGGATCTTCAAAAGTGAGCAAGGGAGTTAGATGCCCAAGCCCAATGACTTTCAATGAGAACTGGTTACTTAAAATTCAGAGGCTTCCTTCAAAAGCTCATCCCTAATCTCTTCAGAACAATTTCTACCTCATTGTAATTAACTGTGGATTTAGACTTCAGTATAAATTCATCTTGAGTAAAATTTACAAAGCATCCTGAAGTCCTATTTTCAGAATGGCTCAGGCCCCAAAGAGCCTAAGCTCTCCTGAAAATCCCTAAAGTTACTAATGCCATATCTAAAGTGTAGCACTGAAGATCTTCCCTGAGCTCCTGAGTTCAGATGTTTGCATCTGTCACATCCCATTTCTGTCCCACAGTAAGGCCTGTGCACTCATCGCCTTCCCTCCCACCAAAAGCTGGGGGTGTATGGGCTAGAGAAGGGCTGCAGCTGGTCCTGCTCGTTGTGGACCTGGTGAAGGTGACAGGATGATGAGGCTTGCAGAGTATACCTGCCCACACTGTGTGTCTAACCCACATCTCCCATAGCCATAAGGTTTAGAAAGCTCAAGCTACTTCTGTGTTTTGAAAATATTAGGTCCTTTGTCTTTCTAGGGTTTTTGGCCATGGTCTGTTTTGGTGTGATGGGTTGGACAATTAAAGGAATGCATTTTATTAGGGTATTGCTCTTTAGGAAGAAGGGAAGGATTTGGCTTGGTATGAGTGAGTAGGGGTTCATAATGTACTTTGAAGTGGACATAGAGAATGTGTAGATGTGGACATAGGATTTTTCTTCTCAGCTGAGCCCTACTTGACTCCAGCTCTCCCTTTGGGGTACCACAGGCATCAGCAGCATCAGCGCCTCTGCCATAGTGAATGTTGGACATTTTTTGGCACCCCAATCTCTGATTTTCCCCAGCAGAGTATTGATTATTCTGGGATTCATCTTTTTTCCTGGTTTTGAATGGAAATTTCATTCTAAAGCTGAGAAACTTTTTTTTTAGTAAGCTTTTGTAAGGCTTCTTAAATTCTGTAATCAGTTCTGGTTCCAGCTAATCAGGCTGAATGCGGATGTGTGGACAGAATAAAAGACACCTCAGAGCAACCTCTCTACAAACAACTCTCCCAGTCAAGGTCTCGTCCTACATTTCTGCCTCGGATTTTGTGTTGCTTGTCTAATTATGTTGGCTGCTGTGTAATTATTTTCATGGAACAATAATTTTAACAGCATGCAGTTTATCAGAGGTGCAAATTATACATAATAACATACAGCAATTTTCAGTTAAAACTTTCATAACGTTCAAAAGCCCTTGCGTTTTTCAATAAATTAAAGAGGAAATAAATATTCTCCATTTTGTATCATTCTTTTCCCTTTTTCATAGAGAGAACAACCTACTGATTTTTTTTGGAGTCAATTAAACTTATTTGAAATAAAGCACATTTATTTTGGAACAAGACCCTCCACATGGGGAGCTAATCAAGAATAATTATTCCTCTCTAAATTCACATCCTCAAATAATTTGAATTAAATCCCCAATATAGACAAGCCCTAAATGTCAGTGGAGGTTAAAAAAAAAGTCAGCTAGAGGAGAGCTATCATATCAGAAAGCAATGAGAATAAAAACCTTGTCTAGGCACCCAGGCCAAGCCAGCAAGGAAAGCCATGTCAGGATCAATTCAGACTCATTCACCACACCTGATTACACATGCACTTGCTCAGTGCTTTGAAGTGAATCACATATACATTTCAGTAGCATCATCTGTACGTACGCACTGCGGCTGTGATAGCAGTGTGGGAGAAGGAGATATTGCAATTGTCAGAAAAGAGCAAGTTTAAACATATTTCAGGGAAAAAGAATTTGCTCAGGGATGCCTTTTCCTCTTGCTTTTCCAGGAGGCTGAAGGCCATTCGATGTACACACCTTTCAAAGACGAGGAGCTATGGGAAGTTTAGGCAGATCTGCACTTTCATCTCAGATTTACCAAACTCGGGTTTTTATTAAAATCCAAGCTTTGCTTTCAGATTGCTGCCAATTGAGCAATAAAGTTTGTAGCCACTATTTTTCTAAAACAACATTAATGCCATGGTGCCTTTGCTGTGTCAAGAATCACCAGTTGAACCACCACTCTCTGTAGGCAGGACCAGGCCCATCCTATCATCTGCAGACCCCCTATAGTAAAAGAAAAATGTTTTCACTGTATTTACCTGCATGACACTGCACCCTTCAAGCAAACCACTGGCTACCAGCAAACAAAGCCTAGAGGCAAATTCTGTAGTAATTGTACAAACACCCATGATGGTGGGTGGCTTGGTCTGGATTTCCATCTGCAAAATTTCAAGGTGCCATGAATGTCCAATGGACTCAAGACTTTATCAGACATGAGGCATTACTTGTACTTTGAGGTGATACTTGTACTTTGAGGTAAGGCAGAGATAAAAAGCAGCATCTTTACATATAGCTTGATGCTTCCCTTATGGGTGGCAAGCCAGGCTTGCCTGCTGGGCTCAGTCCCTTAGCACAACATAGGCTTGGTTGCTTGGGTTTGCCTTTTCTGGGTGGAAAGAAAACTCTCAGCAAATCAACTCCCAAGGTAAACAGCCCCTTGGCTGCCATTTCAGTGGGAGGAAACTTGCCCAAGGCAGCACCACATCCCCACAGCTGTGGTTCTCCCTCATCCCTTGCCTTTCCTAAGGCCAGAGAGCAGGAGGCATTTGCAGCACAGGAGAGTGCAGACCCTTCCTCTCTTCCTCACCATCCCAGCCCAGCTTTCCTGTTCCCTCCTAGCCCTTCCCTAAATGCCCAAACCCCAAGAGAAGCCCTGGGTTCTTTTTTTGAGCCAAAGTGCATTCCTCAAGAGCTCCAGAAATGATCCGTATGTGCTGGGGAGGGAGAACAAGCTGTCTCTTGAGGATGAGTAGCCACTTCAGCTATTTTTGGAAGAATTTCAGTCTCTTCCTCCTGAAATGGGCTAATAGGGACAAATCCCAGGTGTGGCATTCATCTAGAAGGAAAAGCATCTCTGTCAGTATGCAGGGTAATGGCACAATGAGGAAGAGAGGAGATTGCTGGCCATAGCCATTGCTTCTGACTGGGCACGCAGAGGGAATTCCTTCAGAAGCATGGAGTCATAGAGAAAAAACTCAGATTAATCATATATCAGAAAAAAAAAATCAGGTTACAGTGTTTGGCAGGGTTACCAAACATATGGAAATGGCTTGAGTCCTTGAACAGCAAGAGGATA